CTGGTCTCCCTCTCTTCTCCAATGAGTCAGGTCCCAGCTTAAACCTCAGCTGGACGGACAGGGGAGGTGATGGGATTCAAACCGAGTTTGAGGTGAAGATTTAAGACCAGGCTGAGTTTTAATAATCAGAACTGACTAGAAAGTTACAGAACGTGTGAGACACTGTCAGGGGTCTAGAAAAAGAGTTTTAACAGAGTACAATTGAGTCAGTGATCAGAAACAGAGAACTTTTTGTATTTATACTTCCTGGACTTGATAGTCTCCGATTAACTGGTTATAGCGAATATCTGGCAATGCAGAAAGTCCATGCTGGGTCTTCTGAGTGCAAGCCGGTTATTGCTGTTTTCATTTTCACAGCACTGCTTTCCCTGAGAGTACTGGATATCAACACCCTCCCCTACTTCCTCCAAGGCCCCAGTCATTATTGTAGAAGTCAGGAGCTTAAAAGAGTATTTCAGTTACTGACCCCTGGTCAAACCTGTTGCCCTAGCAACACAATCTTGTAATTTCCCATTTCAAACAAACTTTGAAGGATGGCTCTCATGGCAGGATTTTGGGGTAGAGGGAGGGAAATAGAAGCCCCTCCAGGATTCTCCCCACTCTAAGTTTATTAAGAGGAATTCGGGACCTGCAGTGCTCATCCATTTTAGGACCTGTCAGAGTTTGGATTTCACTTCTGCTATTCTACTGTGTGACACTAGGCAAGACCCTATCCCTCTCTGAGGCCCATCTATAAAGTGAGGTGGTTGTATCGAGTGATCCTCCTCCGTGAGTCTGTAACTGTATTATTCTGCATAGACCGACTTCTGGTGGTCAATGTCAGTCCTTGGAGCTAATTCAGTTTTTTAATTTTATTCATTACCCAGAGGCGTTGGCACACTTATGAGGCAAAACATGTCAGAGAGGGCACCGTGTCATCAACTACTCGGGAACTACCAATCAGGGCTCCTAGGGTGACAGTGGAAGAACAGAGAGAGCATAGGGGACAGCGAGCACAGCACTGTCTTTTCCTCTGCATCTTATTCTCTAAAGCTGTTTTCATTCTCTAAAGCTGTGTACCACCCTCTGCAGGCTGGCACACCATAGCTAACTAAACTGAGTTACTCAGCTAACACCTTTGATGAAAATAATAAGAACAATAAGAGGTTTTCACACATTGAGGTATATGGGGAAACCACTCTGGTTTAAATCTGATTCAGCCTGAAACTTGTTTTTCCCAGAGCAGCCTGACTTATGACCCAGCAAACATGCACTGTTCCTCTGCGTCAAACATTTGCCCAAAGTGAAGAATGCACTTTTTAAATATAGGAGTGTTATGTCTCCCTCTCTGTGACACTGACACCAGTACTTCTTTGAAAATAAGCTTTTCTTCCCAGAAAACTAAGGTCAAGTTGACCTGCTGTGTATGTGCTAAACGGCGACAAAACATCTCCTCGTGACTTTAGAAAAAATTGTATTCGTGTTATGCTTGATGTATGTTCTTTGTTCTGAAATGGTATATAACCAGGCTGCAAACCACATTTCCCTGGAGTTTCTTCCCTGCAGACTAGAGCACTTCCGGGCTAGTGCTCACATGAGGCTCAATAAATATCACTCTATCTTTCTTAGCTATAGATTGATTATTGATTATTTGCATCAACCCCTTCTACAAAATTTAAAATATTATAGTTGCCATTAAGCAAATGCAAGATTTGGATCTTGATAACATTTCTATTCTTCTGAATCAAAGCAGGATATTCACCTTCATTTTATTTTTTTTTAAGTTTTATTTTTTTTTATAATTTTATTTCTTTTTTCCCCCAAAGCCCCAGTAGATAGTTGTATGTCATAGCTGCACACCCTTCTAGTTGCTGTATGTGGGACGCGGCCTCAGCATGGCCAGAGAAGTGGTGCGTCGGTGCGCGCCCGGGATCCGAACCTGGGCCGCCAGCAGCGGAGCACACACACTTAACCACTAAGGCACGGAGCTGGCCCCCCACCTTCATTTTAATACACAGGGAAATCGAGGCTTAGAGAGGGAAAGTCACCTGCCTACACTTATTCTTCTCCTCCTCCTCCTCTCCCTTCCCCTTCTCCTCCTCCCCCTCCTCCTCCTCTATTTGCTGTGTAGTGATGTTGCTCTGGGAAGCAGAAGGATTTGTTAAACTGTCACCAGGAGAGCTCAGTACCCCAAAGCTTGAGCCATTTCATTCACAAGAGGCAATCTGTATAAGTAATGACTAATAAAAGGAATAAAATTATGAGCTGTTCTTCAGTTTTCACATCTGGCTCTACATCATAAGAATTTTTACATGTTAACTTTGTAATATTTGTATTAGAGGAAAGTCGGAACCTGCCTCTTGGTGCCTCCAATGAGAAGAAAAGTTGTGACTGGACATAAGGCGTGTCAGTCATCTCAGATATAAAGAGATGCTAGCTGGTCCCCTCGTCTCAGGGGGAAACAGTGGCCAGGCTGTGTCCATGGAGTTGGCCACTGTTGATCTTTTTTTTTTTTTTTCTCGTCCTAAGATCATGGCAGGGGTGGGGACCGGTGGGGGGTTGGTGTCTTTATTCCTTAAAAGGATAAACACAATTAGATAAATCTTGTCAGGAGTGGCTAAGAAACCACTGCAGGAAATAGCTCACCATTATTGACTATTATCTTAAGTAGACAAATTAAGGGGTTTTATTGAAGTCTTCTGGACTAACATCTCTCTCTCTTAAAGTTCTGAACCTTTTCTTGCTGCTTTATTAAAAGAACCAGTTAATTAGGGCCTGACAAGATGAAGGGAGACTTCCCCGGTCTTTGGTGGAAATTTCCCTTAAGACTTTTTATGAATATTAAGGGGGATGATGTAAGCATTAAACACCAGGGCCTGGGGTAAGTGCTCCTTATGTGTTAGTGTTATAAACATTTTCACAAATAAGTAGCTCTGGAACTTGAGAGAGTTTCGCTGAAGGGGGTGTTATCTGCGAACAGCCTCTGTGATGCTCTCGCTCAGACACAATGCCTCAGGACATCGTCCAGACACCTCTGCACATGCTTGGAAAATGTGAGCACGTCCACTACCGGCTTTTTCCTCTCAGTCTGAGCTGTCGCCTTTTGAAACGATACGCCTTCCCTTCTAAACCTTCCCCTGCTCTTTAGCATCTTGATCCTGTGGACTCTAACCTAGGTCAGAGATGGGGCCTTTATGTCTCAATCTCTCCACAGATCAAGCCACGCGCCCTGGGTTCTGGCCTGCGGTTCTCAGTCCTTTTCACTCAAGAGCACCTCGTTAGATGAGATTGCGAAAAAGGGGGGAAAGCTGATGTTTTAGAGTCAGACAGCCGTGGGTGGGACCCCTGATTCTGCAGGTTTCTCTTGTGTGGCTTTAGCTAAGTTACTTCACCTCTCTGAGTCTCGGGTATCTTCACATTGGAGATGCTCTTGACTGTACATATTGGCTCACAATGTGATCGTGGTGGTGATCTTCCTCTTATTATTACACTGCCACTCATGGACAGTTTGTGACCTGAGAAAAACCCTACTTGACTTGCTTTACCCATTTTTTTCCAGCTCTTCCTGTCTTCCAATTGTGTAATTTATCACTTTTTTAAAATTTTTTGATGCAAAAGCTAGCATCTTTTCTGGGCTCCTCCATTTTCTGCCTGAGAAGTGGGAACCGTCCCCCAAGAGGGCTTTCCATGAAGCGATCGGAACTCGGAGCTCTGGGGAAGGAGCAGGTGGGACAGAAAAAGGGACATGTTAGGCCCTGAAAAATAGACTCTTCCTCTGTTCGCCAGCTAGTTGACTCAGAGCACACTGTAAGTTGGTGTTCATTCCGTTTTGCAAGCGTTCCCCCTTCCATGCCTCCATATGTTTTCTCTGCCTTGAATTTGTGGGTCTGAGGGTGCATTCACCCCCAAGCTCTTTGTGGTCTCCCTGCCCTGGGCGTCCTCCCCCTGGGAACCTTCCATCTAGTCGCATAGCTAGTCATTTTCACCTTGGCTACTCTTATTTTTATTTTTTTTTGTTTTTTATTTTTTGTGAGGAAGATCAGTCCTGAGCTAACATCCGTGCTAATCCTCCTCTTTTTGCTGAGGAAGACTGGCTCTGAGCTAACATCTATTGCCAATCCTCCTCCTTTTTTTTACCCCAAAGCCCCAGTAGATAGTTGTATGTCATAGTTGCACATCCTTCTAGTTGCTGTATGTGGGACACGGCCTCAGCATGGCTGGAGAAGCAGTGTGTCGGTGCGCGCCCGGGATCTGAACCCCGGGCCGCCAGTAGTGGAGCACGAGCACTTAACCGCTAAGCCACCAGGGCCGGCCCATCACCTTGGCTACTCTTGAACTCTTTCTGTCCCTCGCTTCTGTTTCCTCTTCTGTAAAAAGAATTGGGTGAGTTTAGTGTAGATTAAGATTCTGCAGATTTTTTCTGTAAAGGCCCAGATGCTAAATATCTTAGGCTTTGCAGGCCAATGACTTGACTCTGCATGAAATCAGCCATAGACAGTACGTAAAAGAACGGGCGTGGCTGTGCTCCAAAACAACTTTATTTACGTACTCTGACATTTGAATTTCATATCCTTTCCATGCATCACAAAGCAGTCTTTTGCTTTTGATCCCCCCCAAACCATTTAAAATATAAAAATTATTCTTAGCTCCTGGGTGGTATGAAAATAGGCATGAGGCCAGGCTTGTGAGGGTAGTTGCCAACCTCACAGATGACTGCTTAAGCATCTTTAAAGCCGTCACACCATTGAGAAATTGTGACACAGTGAGTAATCAGCTGGGGGAGGTGCCTCGGTGTGTCAGAGGAAGAGCTTCTCCGTGCTCCTCAGAAGAGCGTATTTGGAGAAAGCCACTCGGGAGAGATCTGTCAAGCTGTTCCAAATGCTCGGGTCTGGGATGGAATGACCCATCCTTGGTGGAATTTAAGAAAAGAGAGAGAGAGACTTGGCACTCTTTCCCTCATCCTCTCAATTGCCCTGCCTTTCTCCCTGGCCTGGATCCGAGTCCTACATCCCGGCAGACCCTCAGTGGAACTTGATCTCGGCGTACTCTGAGCCGGTATCCTTGGGCGCCTGGGTCTCCCATGGTCTAAGGCCTGGGAAGCTGAAGGCAGCATAATGGAGCTCCTCTTGGTTGTTCTTTGATTCTGGGGCTTGAGTGGCTGATTTGGGTCCTGGACTGCTGTGGATAACAAAATGTAGCTCCTTCTGGTTCTTCTTGGGTTTTGGGGAGTGAGCATCTGGAGGAGGGGGCCAAGAAGGACTGCTTGGTGTGGCCTTCCGATTCCGAGCCTAAGGGGAAAACGTCCTTCCTTCACTCATTCATCCAACAGATGCTTGAGCGCCTACCACGTGCCAAGCACAGACTGAGGAACAGGTTACATTAGGGACTAAAACAAAGTCTGCTCTTACATCTCATCTTGGGGCAGAACAAACAATAAAGAAATGTCTGTTGTTTAAGCCACCCTGTCTGAGGTTCTTGCTATGGAGCCCTCGCAAACTAATGTGTGCAACCATCACCATCAAGATGCAGAACTGCTCCATCACCACAAAGATCTCCCTCTTGCTATCCCTTTATGGTCCCTCTCATCACCTCCCAAGCCTCATGCCTAGCACTACGGATCTATTCTCCGTCTCTACAGTTTTATCATTTTGAGAGTGTTACACACATGCAGTCATGCATAGGTGACCACACAATATTGGCTTGTTTAATTTTTTTTGGTCCCTAAGATGATCCAACCTGTTGCATGTATCAATCATTTGTTCCTTTCGACTGCTTAGTATTCCATGGGTAGATGTACCCCATGGGTTTTAAAGGATATTTAAAGGGTTTTAAAGGATATTAAATCTTTGGGTTTTAAAAAGATATTATGTACAGAGAAGTAGACTGGGGCTGGGGGGCGAGTGGAAGCAGAGAGGACACACAGAGTGACAGAGGTCCAGGTGAGAGATGTTGGTGCATGGACTAGGGTTGGTGCATGGACTAGGGAGGTAGGGGGATAAGTGGTTGCATTTTAGAAGAGATTTGCTGATGGACTGATTGTGGGGTGTTGGAGAGGACAGGAGTGAGAGGTGGCTCTAAGGCTTCAGGCCTGAGTAGCTAGGCAGACGTGGTACTATTTGCTGAGATGGGGAGGATGGAGGTGACGTACACGTGGTGTAGTTAGCCATGAGTTTGGTTTTGCACAGGCTAAGCTTGAGAGCCTATTAGACATCCAAATGGAGATGCTGCCTAGACAGCTGGATATGACTCTAGAGTTCAGGGGTGAGTCTGGGAGATGTAAATTTTGGAGTCTTCAGCATATTGATGTTCTCACCTAAAAATATCCAGCACTTACCAAACACTTACTAGGTACCAGGTACGATTCTAAATGTTTTACTGGTACAGTATGAGCATACTGAATACCTAGAATGATCCTAGGTGGTAGGTACTACTATTATCCCCATTTTAAAGAAATTGAGGCACAGAGAATTTGTGTTGTTCAAGAACACACAGCAATGAAGGGATTAAACCCCAGCAGGCTGGCTTTAGAACCCCTGCTCTCAATCACTAAACATACTACCTCTCAATGATATTAATAATTTGTACTTCATTAATTACAATTAGTAATGTCATGAGTGGTGGTAATAATGAAATAACCACTACATATTGAGCCAGCGCATATGTTCTAATCCTCAAACCAACTCGCAAAGGAAGTGGAGGAAAAAATAGAGGCTTAGAGGGAGGGAGTGATTTGGCCAAGGTCTCCAAGTCAGGATCTGAATCCCACAGGCAAGCTTTTTCCATCTGGATGGCCCTCAGGCAAAGAGTGGGGCAGGGCAGGGATGGAGTGCATGCAGGAGTCAGAGGAAGGGCTGCAGGATTCAGCGGAGGGAAAGAAGAGCCTGCACAGCCGGGCCACTCACCAGGGCACCTGCGTTGGGGACCACGTTGATGTAATCCAGGATCGTGCTCCTCCGCGAGACCTTGGGTCGCCACGTCTCTGCCTGGGTCGGCGTCTCTGCCTGGGTCGGAGTCTCTGCCTGGGTCCCTTTTTTCCTCAGAGTCTTCACGCTGAGGCAACAATCCCACCTTGGTGTGCGCCCCGGCACCTGCCTTGTTCCCCGGGCCCCAGACCCCATCGCTCCTGCTCCGAACTCACATGATCGAGATGAAGCCCAAGAAAAGGAGGGTCGTGACGCCAACTCCCAGAAATACTCCGTTAGAGAATGCTGTGGACATGAATCTCTTCTTATCTGCACGAGGAAGCAGTCAGACGTCTCTGAGCCCCTCCGGTCAATGTGGGTCTTCACGCCCACCCGCCCAGCCGCCACTAGGCCCTCAGGCTTCCAGCTCCCCTTCCAGCCTTACCTGCAATTCCTTTCACCCCAGGCCCGGGGGCCAGGCCTTCCAATTTGGATTTTCCCCTCCACATCCCGGGCCACAGGCGCCATGTCCCCCCTCTCCAGCTCCTGCTCCCCCCACAGGACCCTGCTTCCTGCCCCACTCTGCCCCCACCCTCCCGGGGGCATGCCGTTGGCCCCCTGACCTGGCAGCAGCAGGACAGTGGCGATCTGGGCCCCGTGGAGATTGGTGGCCTCACAGCTGAGTCTGAGGCCGGAGCTGAGCCCCCCGCTGAGGCTCAGGGAGCTGTTGGCCCAGGGCCCCTCGGAGCTGGAGGTGACCGTGAAGGAGGCGTTGCTGCTGTTCCCCTCCAGCAGACCCTCCCCCAGCCGCCAGCGCAGGGAGGGGGCCGGCTGGGCTCGGGAGGAGCAGCAGCAGTGCAGACCCTCATCCTCCCAGGAGCAGGAGGGTCTGAGCAGCTGTGGGGGGTCTGTGGAGAGGAAGGAGAAGGTCAGCGGCGCCTCTCCCCTCCCCAGGACCCAGGTGTCCCCCCACCCCACTCACAGTGCACACAGAGGCTCAGAGAGATGTGCTGGGAGCCCAGTGCGTTCTGAGCTCGGCAGATGAATTCGCCTTCATGCTCCGTTTGTATCCGAGGCAGCTCCAGGACTCCAGGGTCTGAGGGCTGGGAGGGGCTCAGAGTCTGTCCCCCCCAGGCCCAGCTCAGCCCGGCTGGAGGGTTGCTCTGGGTGACACAGAGCAGACGCAGGCTTTGGCCCTCCAGGACTGGGAGGGATGTGCCATTCCCGAAGCTTTCTAGGGTTAGGGGAGGGAAGAGGCAGGACAGACACACAGCTGAGGGCACAGAGACCCGCTAGCCGACATTCCAGATACCTGGGCCCTCAAGGTGGCACCCAGAGGCCCTGGTCTCTCTCCCCTTTTCCTACCTGTCCTGTTTGCGTGGGAGACCAGCACTCTCAGGTTCTCTGGGGCATCTGCAACAGAGACAGAGCACTGGCTCTCGACAGGCCAGGGGCTTCATGCTGGGTGAGGGAACCGTCCCTTGAGATGATGGAGGGGTGGGGGGGGGAGGGGAGACTGAGTCACCCACTGAGTGACACAAACCACCCAAGGGAATAGATGGGGAAGAAGGGCTAGTCCCTGTGATATTATGATTTATAGTAAGAAACATACATTTGGTCTTTGTCCCTGGCACAGAGTTCCTAAAACCCTTGGAATTTCATAACAAGCCCCTTTCAACCACACCTGAGTATATATTAATGAGGTGACTCTAGGAAAGCGCCTGAGGATGGGGGCTGGTTGCCAGGGGAACCAGCCACGTGATTAGAGGGCTGGAAATTTCAGTCCCACCCCCCTGACCTCCGGGGAGAGGAGAGGGTCTGGAGATTGAATCAGTCACCCACTGCCAATGATTTAATCAATCATCACTATGTAATGAAGCCTCCATAAAAACCCCAAAGGATGGGGTTCAGAGGACTTCTGAGTTGATGAACATGTGGCGATGCAGGAGAGTGGCGTACCTGGAGAATGTGGAAGCCGCACACCCATCCCCCGTGCTCCACCCTGTGCCTCTCTCCCATCTGGCTGTTCCTGCGTTATGTGCTTTTATAAAATAAACTGATAATCGAGTAAGTAAAATGCTTCTCTGAGTTCTGTGAGCTGCTCTAGCAAATTAATCGAGGCTGCAGGAACCTCTGACGTATAGCCGGCTGGTCAGAAGCACAGGTGACAACCTGGACTTGAGATTGGGGTCTGAAGTGTGTGTGGGGGGGGGCAGTCTTGTGGGACTGAGCCCTTAACTTGTGAGATCTGACGCCATCTCCAGGTAGATAGTGTCAGAATTGAGTTGAATTGTGGGACACCGAGCTGGTGTCACTGAGAATTGCTTAGTGGTGTGGGAAAAAACCCACATTGGAATTGGAATCGGAATTGTTAGTCCCATAGGCCTGGGGTTCCAGGTCCCTTTATTGTTCTGGGACCCTGCCTCCAGCCCCTGCCCCCTCACCCTTTTCCCCTCCCGGAAGCCAGGTGCCTGCTGGCCACACTCACACTGCACAGAGAGGTCCAGGGCGCGGTTCTGGGAGCCAAGCCTGTTCTCTGCTCGGCAGGTGTAGCGCCCGGCGTCCCCAGGCTTCACCACGGGCAGCACCAGCTCCAGGGTTCTGGAGCCTAAGGGGCCGGACCAGGAGAGGATTCTGTCCTCCAGGGCCCAGCTCAGTGTGGCCGGGGGCTCGCTATCAGCAGCGCAGAGCAGCAGCAGGAACTGGCCTTTCTGAACTTCCAGATAGGCGGTGTTTGCCTGGGGCTCCAGGGCTGCAGGGAGGGAGAGAGAGAGAGCACAAGAGAAGGGCTGCAGGAGGGAACACCATTTCCCTCGCCCTCCTGACACCTTTTTATCCCCTAAAGAGGACCGGCCCCGCCCCAGTAGGCCCTCAGTACCTGATGCTTTGGCCTGGGAAGTGCTGATAACCACGGTTTTGGGGGCATCTGCAAAAAGGTAATGAGCTGATATTGGGGAGGAATGTTGGGTTCCCCACAGCCAGAGAGGATGCCTCCAGAAAAAGAAAATGTGACTATCCTTGGGGAAGACAGGTGGCAAATGAGTGCCAAAGACACACTTGTGCATGGAGGACTAGATCGCATCCCCATTCTCCTTCCAGGGCCGACCTGGCATCTCAGGACTCCACACCTCCCTCTCTGTGGACCCACTGAGAGCTGCCCACCCCCTAGCTGCATCTCTCCCCTTCTCCCGCCTGCCCTGCCTGCTTGCAGACCCTGACGCCCCTTGGCCAAACTCACAGTCCACATTAAGTCGGACGGTTCTCTCTGTGCTCACACCCCTTCTGGAGAAGTCCACTCGACAGGTGAGTTCGGTGTTGTGGTCCTGGGGTCTTGGTGTGAGGGTGAGCACTGAGAAGTGAGAGGTTCTCAGTCTGGTCCCTTGGGAGGAGAGGGCAGCCCCCTTCCAGGAGAAAGTAGGGGCCAGGCATTCCTCAAAGTCCCAGTTAAACACACAGGTGAGGGTCACTTGACGCCCAGGCTCCAGGGTCTGTGGGACGTAGATGTCTGGCTTCTGCGTCAGGTCTAGACAGAGAGAGGGTGTGATCCTAGCCCAAGATGGGGGCACTCCAGGGGGTCCCCACATCCCCTCCCCAGTGTAAGACATAGGGGGATGTCAGGGGGAGGAGAGGCCCCATCCCATTCCAACTCAGGCCAGTTCCATACCTGTCACCTCCAGATAGAATTTGCTTTGCATGAAATTAAATTGCACATAATTGCCTCTCTCCAACCTAAAGAAGTACATCCCAGCGTCCTCCTTCTGTGCATCTCTGATGAGCAAGGAGCAGTTCTTGTCCTGGGGATTGCCAACGAGCTGGAATCGGCCCTGGGTCCATATATGCACCTCTCGATCCTGTTTGTCTGTGGCCACTGGAAGACCAGTGCCCGTGTGGGTCCCCTCTTTGAACCAGTAGCCGTGAGCTGGGGTAGAGTCAATCCAGCCATCCGGGGGGTAGAAAACAGTGCAGGACACAAACACACACAGGCCCTCCTGCACCCTCACCACCTTCGGCACTTGCAGCTGGAATCTTAAGTCCTCAGCCTGCGACCCTAAGGGGAGACAGAGATTCAACCTGTGTCCCCAGCCCCGGCCCCCACCCAGGCCCCTTCTGGCCCTGGGCCCACTCACCACCCCACAGTAAGGCTAAGAGCAACGGCGGGAGCATCTCTGCGTTGGGAGGCACTTGGATCTGCCCTGAGACAGGCTCGTTCCCCAGACGCTGTGCAGGGCCAGAAGGGGAAGCCAGGGCAGGCAGGCGGAAGCTGAGCCCAAGGGCACCGATGCATGAAATGAGCTTCTGATTCACCTCCCACGGGATGCCCTCTCCTCTTCTCATCATGCCTCACCCCCACCTCACCCACTTGGACTCTCCTGGGGGGCCTATCTGGTGTTTGGGCTCACTGAGCTGGCCCCTCCGGAGGCACCTCTGGGGGAGGGTGTGGAAGGCATATGTCTGGCCCTGGGGCCTGGCTGTGCGTGGGTGGAGGGTAGGGGCTCTCCCTCTGGGCCCTGGGTCATTGAGGAAGCAGAAGTGAAAGTCCCCAGTGGAGCCTTCTTACAGGGGCCCCTGGTGATGGTGGTGGGTGCAGGGCAGGGTGAGTTCCTGCGGGAGGCAGGGGGCAGGGATGGTCTTGCCAGATAAAATGAAAGATGCTTCCAGTTGACCTTTATGTAAACAATGAATAATTTTTTTTTAGTATAAGTATATCCCAAATATTACGCAGGACATACTTATACTAAAAAAAAAAAAAAAAACTACTCATTGTTTATATCTGAAATTCAAATTTAACTGGGCTCCTTGCATTTTTATTTGCTAGATCTGGCAACCCTAGGCTTCCTCTCATCCCACCCCTTCATCCTCCATGGTGGGCTCACTGATCACTGGTCTCCCAGGAGCACCCACCGCCGAGACCTTTGTCCACTTCCCACCCTCCCCTTCTTCTTTTGCTACACCATTGGACACACTCACTTGTGACACCCGTTGTGATAAGAACACCTGCACCCAGAGGTAAGGGGGGTGTCGAGTGGGGGGGATAAACTCCCCCAGTTGTTGACCCAGGCACCTTGAAACGACTCTATTTTGGGCACATAGAGACACTGTGCTCTTCCTTTCGACCTCCATGTCCTGGGACCTCGTGTGTGGCAGGCGCCATCCTACAGATGGGGGACAAACAGGTAAATCAGACACAGCGTCTGACCTCAAGGGGACCCAGTCTGGTAAATGGAGATCCTTAGAAATGGAAAAGCACTGACCCTCCCCCCATGCTGGGACAGATGTTCATGATGGTCCTGGGGAGGGAGGGGTTACTTCTTCCTGGTGAAGTCAGGGGAGGTCTCCTGGGAGGGGGTAACACCCAGCTGCCCCGTCCTCACATCCACTGTATTCATTTGTTCTGGCTGACATAACAAAGCACCACAGACTGGGGGGCTTAAACAACAGAGATTTATTTCCTCATACTTCTGGAGGCTGGAAATCCAAGATTGAGGCATCGGCTGGGTTGGTTCCTTCTTTTTTTTTTTTTAATTTGTGAGGAAGATCGGCCCTGAGCTAAAATCTGCCAATCCTCCTCTTTTTGCTAAGGAAGATTGGCCCTGGGCTAACATCCGTGCCCATCTTCCTCCACTTTCTATGGGACGCCGCCACAGCATGGTTTGACAAGCAGTGCGTCAGTGCGCGCTGGGGATGAGAACCAGCGAACCCCGGGCCGCCGCAGCAGAGCGCGCGCACTTAACAGCTTGCGCCACCGGGCCGACCCTTGGGTTGGTTCCTTCTGAGGCCTCTCTCCTTGGCTTGTAGACAGCTGTCTTCTCCCTGTGTCCTCACATGGTCTTCCCTCTGTGAGTCTGTGTCTTAATCTCGTCTTCTTATGAGGACACTGGTCTCATTGGATTAGGCCCCATCCTATGACCTCATTTTAACTGAATCATCTCCTTAAAGACCTTACCTCCAAATGCAGTCACATTCTGAGGTACTGGGGGTTAAGACTTCAACATATGAATTTTGAGGGGAGGAGATACAATTCAGTCCATAACATACACTTTCTCTTCACTCTGATTTCTGGGTCCCCTCTTCCCAACCTGGGCTTCCTCTGAGGGGACCAGGTTCCCTTCTCCCAGGGGAGCCTTCGAGTCAGGGAATCACCCCCTTCACTCTGTGGAGCTCACAGAAGAGGGGCCTCTCACAGGGAGGAGTGCGAGGGAGAGATGGATGCCTGGGTCCTGCAGGGGGCTTGCCCTGAATGAGCTGAGAACTGAGCAGCCCCCAGCTTAGGCCCAGCCCCGCCTCTGCCTTTGAGCGTTTCCATCCCTCTCTGGGACCCATTGGGGTGGGAGCCAGGAGAATGGCAACATCTCAGTCCTTCCATGGATCTGTCCATGCCACTATTCCCTGATGCCCCATCATCTGGAGAAGGGAGCAAGGACCCTCCGCCACCCTGGGGCTGAAAGGTGCCAATCCTGACCCCTTGGGGCTCTCCAAGCTGACCTGGGGGCCCCACAACCCCCCATAAGAATGTGGACCACCCTCGGGGTTAGAGATCCCTTTGAAACTATAGGGGAGGAAGAACTATTCCTCTACCCTCTAGGTCCTTCTGACTGGTCTAAGAATTAAATTGACATGAGAGAGAATAACAGGAAAAAATCAAACAAAGTTTAATAACACATATACATGGGAGAAATCCAGGAAATGTGAGTAACTCACCAAAATGGGGGAAGCCACCACCTTAAATACCATCTTCAGCTAAAGACAAAGGAGAATGTTGGGGGTGGTGGTTTGTGACTTCAAAGGGGATGAAGGCAATTCACATGGAGATAGAAAAGCAAATGTTTGGTAAAAAAAAGTTTACTGGGCCGACTAACTTTGATAAAATAGGCCTCACTAAGTTCCTTCCTGTCTACCACACCTAGAGTTATCTATAGTGATAGCTCCTTCCTGGGACAGGCCTTCTATCTTAAACTCTTTTAGGCAGTTAGGGGAAAGGCCAAAGTTTCTTTCTGAGTCCTTTGTTCTTTATTTATTTTTATTTTTTTTTTTGTGAGGAAGATCAGGCCTGAGCTAACATCCATACCAATCCTCCTCTTTTCACTGAGGAAGACTGGCCCTGAGCTAACATCTATTGCCAATCCTCCTCCTTTTTTTTTTCCCCTTTTCTCCCCAAAGCCCAGTAGATAGTTGTGCGTCATGGTTGCACATCCTTCTAGTTGCTGTATGTGGGACGCGGCCTCAGCATGGCCGGACAAGCGGTGCATCAGTGTGCGTCCGGGATCCGAACCCGGGCCGCCAGCAGTGCAGCACTCACACGTAACCGCTAAGCCACAGGGCCAGCCCCAAATCTTTTGTTCTTAAAAATAATAAAGCCAAAGGGATACATTTTGGGGTGGCAAATTATGATGTTACTGAACATAATTGGGGTTCTCTTGCCAGAAGTGCATAAACAGCCAATTAATTATGGCATCAGCCTTTGGGAAAAGAGATCAGCTTTATTCTGAGAGACCTACCTGCAGTAAGGCAGGGGGCGTGTGCCCTCAGATCTGTCTCAGGATTTGGGGTGAAATTGAAGAGGTTAAGGAGAACAGGCTGGCATGCAGAAATGCTAGCGGGACAGATTTTGATTGGTGGGCTTCAAGCATTTATGGTAAGGTTTTAAACATTTATGATGGGGTTCTAAACATTTATTATGAGGTGGGGAAGGAATTTTAACACCAGGTCTTCCTGAATGAGGGACCCCTTGCTTCTGACAAGAGTCCGACTTTCAAGTTCCGGTCATGTCCCCTGCCTTTGTTTCCAGACCTTTGGTTCCTCGGTCATTTCAGGTCAAGATTTCTTCTTCTGTGCATTCTCTGGCTATGTGACTTTGCACATTTTCTGAAAGACAATTCTTAATCACTCTGTTGATAAGAGATAGGGTCAGATGAACTGGTCCTGGAGGGCCTGTGGTTACACTGATTCCCCACAAACCTCAGAGCTGATCTCTGAGATGTGAGGGTGAGGAGGCCTCCAGTACCAGGCAAGGACAGCTTGGCAGCTCTATGTCCACAGCCAAATTGGAGCAGATCTAGGCTTGCCAGGGAGAGGTAGAAAGAGAGTGGGGTTAGGGAACCCTTCTCCCTTCCAGGGGCAGTTGGCAAGAGACCATCAGCCCCTACAGCCCTTTCTCTGAAATCTTGAGGGTTCTCTCTTCTCTTCACAGGGAAAGTTCTTCAAGGACTTCTCCTTCTTTATTTACTGTCCATCCTACCCATCCTAGTCCAGTCTTGCTTCCAACCCCACATCACTCAAACTGCTCCTCAAGGTCACCAAAGACCTCAAATGGCTAAAGCCCACAGACAATTTCTATTCTCACTTTTCCTGGATGCTGCCCTCCCAGCAGCATTTGACATGCTCTGTCACCCATTCCTTCTTGAAACACTTCAGTCTGGCTTCCGTGTCACCTAGATCTGCCATCTTGCTTGAGTCTGGTGGCACCACCCACTGATTCTACATGAAGGTGACTGAACTTAACATATAGAAGATACCACACTTCCTAGCTTTTCCTCCGACCTTTCTAGACACTCTTTGTCATCTCCTTTCATGGTTCCTCCTCTGACTCCTAAATCTGGGAATGCATCAGGACCACTCTTTCTCAATGTCCTATTTCATCCATGACTTTATTTGTTTATTTATTTTGGTGAGGAAGATTGGCCCTGAGCTAACATCTGTGCCAATTTCCATCTATTTTGTATGTGGGACACCACCACAGCATGGCTTGATGAGCGGTGTGTAGGTCGGCGCCTGGGATCCAAACCCACGAACCCCGGACTGCTGAAGTAGAGTGCATGAACTTAACCACTACACCACTGGGCCGGCCCCTATCCATGACTTTAAAAACACATGCCACCTGTGAGATTGTGATTTATAATAAATATATATTTTGGTCTTTGTCCACACTTCCTGGCTCACAGCTCCCCAAATCCTTGGAATTTCCAGAGCAATAAGAGCCATGCGAGGGCCGACCCTGTGGCTTAGTTGTTAAGTGCGCACGCTCCGCTACTGGCGGCCCGGGTTCGGATCCCGGGCGCGCACTGACGCACCGCTTCTCCGGCCATGCTGAGGCCGTGTCCCACATACAGCAACTAGCAGGATGTGCAACTATGATGTACAACTATCTACTGGGGCTTTGGGGAGAAAAAAGGAAAAAAGGAGGAGGATTGGCAATAGATGTTAGCTCAGGGCCGGTCTTCCTCAGCAAAAAGAGGAGGATTGGCATGGATGTTAGCTCAGGGCTTATCTTCCTCACAAAAAAAAAAAAAAAAGATTAAAAAAAAAAAGAGCAATGCGACT